GGGGTTAAGATATTGATACAATGAAATAWTGTGATATTTCATTTCTTGATCCTCAAAAGCACTGTATCGATTTTTAATTAAGGCTTTTTGAATTGATGTTTTAAGAAAAAACATGAAATGCAAATGCAGTTCTCACTGTTGTTTGATGAAAAGTAAACTAAATTTAATCAGGTTTTATGTGTTTAATGAATAGTGTGCTCTCTGTACTGAGTTTTTAAAATTAAAATCTTTTGGAGAAATAAAATAGTAACATATCGCCTCACTTATACTGTAGGTTTATTGTGAGTACATAAGTAATTTTATTGAGGATTTGTAATTTTACTAAGTATTTTTAAAAATAGTTACTTTTACTTTTATTTCCATACAATTAAAACCTATTAATGATGCTTTTAATTCATTACTTTAAAATTTAACACTTAGTTACTCGTTACAAAATTAAATATATATGAAGTCATCATGAAAGACGTTGAATTTCCTCAACCAAGTCATGTCAGCTGATTCCACTAAACCTAGTAGAGTAAATATGAAGCAATATACTGTACACATTTTCATTAAAAGAAAATAAGTATATTTATTGCTCAGTTTAGTTTGGTTTAGTGGAACCAGTTTGGTTCAGTAAATTCAACAGTTTATTTATTAGAGAGTGTGTAAAAGTACTTTTACTTTCCCGATTTTTGTGAGYAGATTTAAGACTTTTACCTCCTGGGTAAGTACTTTTCTCATCCGTGAAACTTATATTTACCAATGTAATTTCTGTTAAGGTATTTTTACTTTTACTTGTTTTTTTCCCCAAGTACTTCATAGACCTCTGATCATGATGCATCATATCATAAACCCTGTATCATGATGATATTTACCATATTACCAAATTCTTGACAATACACAACYGCACTGACGGGAATAAAAGACAAGAAAGAAAACTTAGGAAAGATTTTTTAAAAAGCACTCAGCTTCTTGGAAACAAAGTGGATGTTTATAGTTGTGTTTCTGAATGGAGTACTTACTGAAGTGCCCTTAAAGCTTCAGTGTTCTATAATGTACACTTTTTTTTGCAGAGGACCACACAGTCTCCACTCTAGCTTACACTGAACTCCAATGATATGATGCATTCGTTTGAAAAAAACCCATATGACTTGTTTCAAGGGTATTTACCAGCCTTATAACCTGATCTACATTTATCTGGACACAAATATAAACATATAGATTTCTGTCATCTCATAATTTTGAATAAATAAGTAATAAAAAATAACTGCCGAACCACAAAACAGATCACGATCATTCYACAGATAATCAGATCAACCACCTCAGAGCTCGTTCATGGTTTTGAATTCATCTCGTGCAAAAGTGACTGGACGAGTCTCTGGGGTTTACAGAGGCTCTGATTTCAAACAGCAAATGAAAGGAGGTCAAGGTGCAGCCTTTATAATGATGCARTTTGTTAGATGGAACCTGTCATCTGAGTCCAGCCTCTCAGTTTACCAGCAGCAAACCACAGTTTGACAAGAAACCAACTTTCTTTYTTTTACCAAAGGAAAAACAGCAGCTGTGCTACAACGGTCCACAGACACGGGGGGAAAGGGATGATGGATGTAAAGAAATAACTAACTAAATGTTAAAATCATCGAGTTTCAGACAGATCAACACTGACCATCGTAAACCTGTGAAAACCTTCTGAAAATTAGACAAATTTCTAAGCTATGAGACAAAGCAACAGTTGGGTACAAGATCAAACACCAGCTTTGGTGTCTTCTCAGGCTGCTTGTTGTTTGATTTCTTGAGTAATCAGGGTCTGTTCACCAGATCCCTGCCTCTGGCTGTCACATGTTTTCTGCTTATGCACTCATTATCACCACAAACTCACTCATAAASAGCTTTACAACTGAAAAATCAGGAGCGCAACAGACAACCTACTGACTGAAAGGCAAAACCTGCAGAAAATAATCTGCTCTGATTTATTCCAGTGAGTTTATCAGATGGTGTTCCAAAGCAACAAGGACGATACGATTCCTTCAAGGAGTGCCAGGCTTTAAATTTTATCACAAGAAGTTCTGAACAAGTTTTATTTACAACTCCAAGTCCAATGAAGTTGGAGCGTTGTGTAAAGCATAAATAAACAGAATACGATGATTTGCAAATTCTTTGCAACCTGCATTCAATTGAATACACTATGAAGATAAGATTTTCATRTGCTTCCCTTTTAACACTGAGGACACTAACTGTTGAAACTTTGTGGAATTCTTTCTTATTCTTCCTTGATGAACTTCAGTCACTCAACAGTCTCTTTTTGTCACATTTAGCTCTTCATAACGCACCACACATTTTAAATAGGAGACAAGTCTGGACTGCAGGCAGACTGGTCTAGTACCCACGGCTGTGGCAGAGTGGTTAGGGGAGTCGTCCTGGAACTGGTAGGTGGCCAGTCCCCCGTTCCAGCTGTCTCAGTCGTTGTGTGCTTGGGCAAGACACTTTACCCACAATGTCTCTGATGTGTGTCCCACCAGTGTACGATTGTGATTACTGATTACTCTCCATAGGATGTTTTATACATGTTAGCTTTGTAGAGACCTGGTAGAGTGCGGTGTGAATSGGTAAATGAGGGCACAGATTGTTGTGTAAAGCAYTGAGTGTCCTGGTTGGATAGAAAGGTGATATAAGCACAGTCCATGTACTCTTTTACTATAATTTAAAGCCAMGCTGTAGTAACACGTGCAGAATGTGGCAYTGTCTTGCTGAAATAAGCAGGATGTCCCTGAAAAAGACATGGCTTGGATAGCAGCATGTGTTGTTCCAAAACACGTGTATCTTTCAGCACTAATGTTGGCTTCACAGGTGTGCAGGTTACCCAWGTCATGGGCACCAATACACCCCCATAACAACAGAGAGGCTGGCTTTTGACCTTTATAACAATCCGGACAGTCCCTCTCCTATTTGATCCGGAGAACACGACATTCATGGTTTCCAAAAACAATTTGAAATGTGGACTTGTCAGACCACAGGACACTTTTCCACTTTGCATCAGTCCATCTCAGATGAGCTCAGGCCCGGGGAAGCCGGCGAGGTTTCTGGGTGTTGTTGATATCTGGCTTTAGCTTTGCATGGTAGAGTTTTAACTTGAACTTGTAGATGTAGCGACAGTTTTCACTAATAATGGTTTTCTGAAGGGTTCCACGTGGTAATAACCGTTACAGAACGATGTTGGTTTTTAACACAGTGCCACCTGAGGGATGGAAGCTCGTGGGAATTTAATGTTGGTTTTCGGCCTTGGTGCTTATTTGAAGAGACTTCTTTTCATATTATGGACTGTTGATGACGAAGTCCCCAGATTTCTTGCAGTTGTGAGTTGAGAAACGTTCTCAAACTGCTCGACTATTTGCTCACGCGGTTGTTCACAAAGTGGTGAACCTCGCCCCCATCGTCGCTTATGAACGACTGAGCCTTTCAGGGATGCTCCCTTTATACCCAATCAAGACACTCACCTGTTTCTAATTAAGCTGTTCAACTGTGGAATGCTCCAAACGGGTATTTTTTTAGCCTTTCTCAACGTCTTTTGTTGCCCCAGTTACAGCATTTTTGGGAAATGTTGCAGGCATCAAAATCGAAATGAATATTTGCAAAAGAAAACAAAGTGTACCCATTTGAACATCACATACTGTATATTGTCTTTGTAATTATTCAGTTGAATATAGTTGAAAAGAATCATTGTATTCTGTTTTTATTTACATTTTACACAATGTCCCATTGGAATTGGGGTTGTACCATGTAAAAACAAGTAGAATGGTTTATGCAAATAGCCCTGAACTATGATAACAACTCCTCCTTTCTAATATTCTGACTAGACTTTGAGATTTAAAAAAATTAGCATTTCAACAAAACACAGGTTTGATTATCAAGCAGCAGCTCCTCTCAGCAGCAGGTTATTTTATCATTCCTTCAGGGGTTTGTACGACAAATTGGAGGCCACTTCACATCTTGTTTAGCATTCCTCATGATTGTGTATCATCCTCTGTTACAGGTTGGAAGGCCTTAGTCATGCTCACAGGGAGAAAAAAAAGGTCCAGACTGTTTCTTGTAAATGAGAGCTGGTGCTCAGCTACATGTCATTTTTTTGTAAATCCTCATCCAGCACGGGGGTTCCTTCTTTTGTTGCAAGCCGYTGACCTTCGCTAACCTCTCATCTTTAACAGCCTTTAAGGGTGGCGTGAATGGATGGTATTTGAGCTTTCTGAGGGCACTAAAGAACAGAGCTGGTTGGCCRGGGGCCAAATACCCATGGTTACCCTGGAGCAGCAAGTGGCTCTTTCCTGTGTGAGCGACTGAACCAAGTCTGCTTCTGCATGCATGGGGGGCTTGAGGGAGACAAGATAAGTTAGGGGGGGGCATCATTACAGAGTCTTAAAAATCACCTCCCTAAATCAGAGCACATATAACAGTTCCATGCTTCAAAGAGAGACAGGGTAAGAAGCAGCACCACTTCTTCTGAAGTGCCCCTGAGCAACTTCTTTCACTCTTCAGCTGCTTGACTTCGCTGTGATGCTGTAACAATAAGCTTACAGTGATAAAAGTATCACACAGCTGATAGTAACAGGCTGTTCGGATCATCAGAAGAATGAAGAGTTCCCCCTGATAAAGAACTGAGATTTGACTGAATATCTTTAGTGTGTGRTTTTAAAAGATGAGCTTAAATCATCTTTATACATGTTTGGACATTTTATGCTTTTCCACCACGAGCAAAAGYTCACAAATGCAATTATTCAAACTCAATTACGTGTCTTTAATTTAGTCATTTCCCTTTCCATGAGCATTAATTACCCATAAATGGGCATCAGGAAACAGTGGAAATAGGTCAGAAGTGAACCTTTTATTGCAGCAATCAAAAGCTCCGCCATCTCTGGCTATGACTCATGCAGGTTAGTGATGAACTGAACCCCCTTTTTTTCCSCTCTGAGCTCCCAAATGATCCAACGCGTCCCATTTTTAATCAACAAATCCCCTTTCCTTACCTTTGACCTGACTCTCATACTCCGCGATGATTTCCTTGTCCTTTTTGAACCTCGGCGTGGACATTTTCTGTCTTGTCTTTGCCCGGAGCTCGTTGTAAACTTCTTGTGTGGGGAAAAGGAAAAAAAAAAAAAAAAACTGTCAACAAGAAGCGGAATCCCTACTGCAGCCGAGGCATGATCCTCTCCGGAGGAGAAATGAACGGCAGGGAGCGCGGGGTGGAAATGACGGTTTAAAAAAAAGGGGGAGGATTTAACTCTGTAACAAGACTTGGGGGGGAAAGGAGTGTTTACTACTTCATTGTTCCTCTTCTCTCGGGATATGAGATGGATATGGAGCAGGGCCAATGCGCAATCACGCTCCTAAACCAATGATCTCCGAACTGTCCGAGCAGTCGACGCGGCTCAACAGCACCGCTGCAGAGAGAAGAGGAGGGGGGAGAAACCCGCAAGTTTTCAGGCTCTCCGAAGCAACTGGTCCAAACCTTAGACATGAAAACGTAGAATCCTCGTTGACTGTGTCGGTCCGCTGCTGTGACGAGGCTGTGCGTCCGCCATATTGGAGAGGGCACCGCTGCGCTGTGAACCACTACAAATGACTCTGTTTAAAGCACATTTTAACACAGATTTATATTAATACGGCACCATCATTTATTCAAACACACACATGCTCACACACACACACACACAATTTGAGAAAAACAGGTACCAAAAACAATGTATTCAAACTTCTTACAGGACTACAAAATAACTTTATTGATCCCACACACAATGAATATATGTTTCATAAGCTGAAAAGGTAAAGTAGTATAAAAATCAATTATTTTACACTTTGTATTATTATACAAATTGTAATGAATGAATTTAGGAAACCTATACAGAATTAAAAAAGCTAAACATAACAGTCTAACAAAATGTTTGACTGAACGAATTTATTTATTCGTTGTTTTATATTCTGAATAAGGGATACAGTTGGTAATAAGAACTTTCTTACAATCTTAAACTTTTGACAGTTTTATTCTGACCAGATATATTAACCCAGTTGTTAAATTATTAATACAGTATAATAATAATAATAATAATAATAAT